AGGCGGCGGTGTCCGCTCACAGTGCCCCCGAGGCGGCGGTGTCCGCTCACAGTGCCCCCGAGGCGGCGGTGTCCGCTCACAGTTCTCACGAAGCGGCGGAGCCCGCCATTGCCAGTTCCAAGGCGGCAGCTCCACACACACCGCTGTGGTGGCCGCTGGTTCTGCCCTGGGTCCCCATCCCGCCGGCTCTGCCCCAGTCCCCAGGTCCCCCTCTATCACACGGACCTGGGCCCCCCATCCCTCCCCCTACTCTGCCGCCCCCCGGTTGGGCGCTCTGGAACGTCTGGAAGCCGTTCCTTAGAGGAGGGATCCTGTCAGGGTCTGGCGTCTGGTGTTTCTCCCTCTCACCACCAGAGGTCGCCATTTCCCATCCTCCCGGACTCCGTTACCTTCACTCCACTCACCTGTTGTCTCATTACCTTATTATTGATTAATTTGTCCCAGCTGTTTACCTGATTGCCTCTCCCTTATAAGCTCCCTGTGTTTTCTGTTCTGGGCTTGTTTGTCTCACTTAGGTGTCGGATCATGCCTTTGATTTGTGGCTGCCCTGTTCTCAGTTTATGTCTCGTGGTGAGCTTTTTATGTTTCTCTGGCTTTTTCCCCTTCGGGGTGGTTTCAGTTGTGTTTATTTTTTGTGAATCGTAAATAAAGACACCCCATCTGCCTGCACTTGAGTCTTCGCCTCTTTCGAACTGTGACAAATATTACCCAGTAATCGCAATTTGTGTGAAAAGGAATACAAGTTTTCTGCTCTATTGTTAATTTCAGCTATAAAAAAATCAGACTTCAATCTTTTGTTAAAAGTGGCCCATATCCAATATTTGCATTTAGGCTACACACTTGGCAAAACTACCCAAGGTTGAAGAAGCAGGGTTGCCTGGTCTGCAAACAAAACCAGCCCAATTGCTAATCAAAAATAACCCAATCACATTTTTTCTGTAGTTTTCCCCTCCGTCAGGGGTCCACTGCATCCAAATCACATTCCAGGGGAGGTGGGGAGATCACTTTAACCCGCGGCAATAGTGTAAAAAGCACAGAATTGGCAACACTCCCCAGAAAAGCATTCACCTGAGTTGACATCATTCCCCACTTTTGTTTTTTTAATGACGATACGACTTGCAACGATAGGGGAATATGTGCTTTTTTCTTGCTTACACTTTCGTGGGTCATTTAAGATCAGTGCCACATGGGATTAGGTCACTTGAGCTGCATTCACAACATGTCAATCACCAAGATGACAAAACGTGATGTTCTACTCGGAGCTGTCCAAGCCTTTTATACTCGGAGGTAGAGCCTAAGTAGCACCTAAATCTGGGGTTCTGAACTCTGGCCCTCGAGGTCAACTTTCCTGCAGCGTTTAGCTCCAACCCTAATCAAACACACCTGAACAAGCTAATCAATTGGCTAAACTCTGCAGGAAAGTGGACCTCGAGGGCCAGAGATAAGAACCCCTGGCGGCAGTCAGGTGGGACAGTGGTCACATGGTCCAAGTCGTAGCTCTCAGAACATTCTGAGCTTACAAGTTGTAATTATTGTTTCGTTGAAATGCAAGCACGTGAATGCTTTGGCATTGATAGTGTTGCTATAGAAATGCACAATTCAGCTCTGAGTAGAACGAGTACAAATTCAGACACCTCAGTCCACCTACAATCTATAAAAATAACTTTGAATTACTTCAGGAATGGACTTTCAGAAGTCAGCATGATTATGACATCACAACCATTAGCAAATTAGCATAAAAGCACCCACTTTTACATACCAACACTTACTCAGTATTTAGAAACCTGACTTGTGTTGATGATCGTGAACTACACCAGTACACAGAGTTTAGCCAATCAGCGCAGAGCTCATTTGCATTAGAATTCTTAAAGGCACAGAAACAAAATGTTTGTTTAATTCAAAGGGTGAGAAGCGAGGATAGAAAATGGTCATTGCGAAGAAAAAACAAAATTACTAAATTAAAGGGATAGTTCACCCAAAAAAGACAATTCTGTCATTAGTTACTCTCCCTCATGTCATTCCAAACCCAATAAGACCTTCGTTCAACTTCAGAAGACAAATTAAGATATTTTTGATGAAATCAGAGAGCTTTCTGGCCCTCCATAGACAGCAAGGGAATTACCACGGTCAAGGCACAGAAACATAGTAAGGACATCGTTAAAATAATCCATGTGATATCAGTGGTTCAACCTTATTTTATGAAGCTACGAGGATACTTTTTGTGCGCAAAAGGAAACACAAGATGAAGGCCCCTATTTTAACGATCTAAGCACATGGTCTAAAGCGCACGGTACAGGTGCTCTTAGGGCGTGTCCAAATCCACTTTTGCTAGTTTAAAGACGGGAAAAATGGTCGGCGTGCCTGGCGCATGGTCTAAAAGGGTTGTCCCTATTCTCTTAATGAGTAATGGGTTTGTTTTGGGCATAACGTGCAATAAACCAATCAGAGTCTCATCTCCCATTCCCTTTAAGTTGCGCTTGCGCCATGGCGGATTCGCTATTTACAAGGCGGAATTTGCGAGATGGTCCTCACTGCAGAACACAAGATCCAGGGGGAGTGGTTGGATCCAGATCCAACTCCTCCCACCTTACATATACTTAAACCTACCCGTCTCCACCCCCTGATTCCTAAACCCACCCATCTCCACCCCTAACCTTACCCATCTCCCAGAGCTCCACCCCTAAACCTACCCGTCTCCACCCCCTGATTCCTAAACCCACCCATCTCCACCCCTAACCCTACCCATCTCCCAGAGCTCCACCCCTAAACCGACCAATCTCCACCCCCTAGATGCGGACCCAACCACGCCCCCTGGATCTTGTGTTCTGCAGTGAGGGGCTACTGCATGAATGGGCCTTTGAATCAGTTATTCACACGATTCGTTCAAAACGCGGATTCATTCAGAAATTAAACACCGCTGTTTTGCTCGGAGACGTGCAACAATTATATTATGGCTTTAAAGGTATGTTCTCTGCAAAACTCTGCAAAACACATAATATTGTATTTAAAATATTACACAATATCAACTTCTTATTTACTGAACTGTTGTATAAAATCACATTTGCACTAGTGGTATTTGGATATAAAACAGCAGTCTCGTCTGATTGCTCTCGCTGCTGGTGTGATATCGCTTATCACAAAAACCCATACAGGGGCATTTTTGGACCGATATCTTGAATTTTAGGGCATAACTGCATTTATGGAGATGTTGCCTTGCATCATATTTGTCAACAGTCAGCTGTATGAAATGTAATATGATGTACAGGTCTGGGGGCGGGGCCAGTGCGTTAACTGCGTTAAAATATTTTAATTGCGTTATTTTTCATAACTAATTAATTAAGTTAACGCGTTAAACTGACAGCCCTAATAAATATATATGTATATAGTCTCGTCAACACATTACATGTACTTACTATTATAATAACAATAAATTATGCATAATTACATGCAAGTAAACCTAAGTCAAACCCTAACTCTAACCCTAACCATATAGTAAGTACATGTAGTTAATTAATATTACCCAGCACTTAAATGTATAATTACACTGTAACAAGGACACCTTATAAAGTGTAACCCATTTTATCATTAATAAGCATAACCATCATTAAGTCATTTTAACTTTAAACAGTCACTCCTAGCCTTACTCCTTAATCCATTCATAATGCATAATAATGCTTCCTCCATTGAAAAAGTATATTAAAGTATATAAAAGCATATTTCTCTCCTGATTCAGACGAGACGACCTTTTCACTGGAGAAGGCAATATTATGGGTAGAGGACTCATGTTTTAGCAGAAAGTTATAAATGTCTTAATAATGGACTTGTTTCTTACAAACACGCAGCTTTTCACTTTAAAAGATGTTAGTTGATGGACTGGAGTGGAGTGGATTGTTTGTGGATTATTGTGATGTTTTTATCAGCTGTTTTGACTCTCATTCTGACGGCACCCATTCACTGCTGAGGATCCATTGATGAGCAAGTGATGTAAAGCTAAATCTGTTCTAAAGAAGATACAAACTACATCTTGGATGGCCTGAGGTTGAGTAAAATGTCAGAATTTTTTATTAAACTTTATCAACTATACACAAGATTGTAAAATACATTTGAGAAAAATAAATACTAATAATTGTCAGTCCCCCTGTTGCAGATCCCTGACGTAAATCATTGCAATTCCAACTCAGCGCAGGAAACGTGCCCAATCACCCAGTGGATTATCCGCCCGGCATCAGAGTGTCTGTACTTATTACTTTGTGAAAGAGAAACTCCATTTAATTAAACAGGTCAGTGAAAAGACTCAGTCTACTGCTATTTCCCAGGTAATTTCGCAGTGTTAGCTAAAATTTAATTCAATTCCCTCATGTGCTGCATTAAATTGGGCTCAGAATTTGATTGCCACCAGTTTGCATCCCAAGCCAGTGAACGTCACATCTTCACTTAGGCGACGCAGGAATAAAGCCTAATGTATGCAAATAATACACTCAGCACTTTAAAGCCGCTCAGAGAGGTAATATGCTCTAGCATACAGAACGCCTCTGGGTTCAAAGGGCAGTTATATTGCATTAAGAGTCTACAATGCTTCTGGCACCCACGCATGTGCGCTTTGGTAAGATGGACCCAGTATGTCTGAATCAGCAGCGCTTCTAATGATTAAAGAAAATGAGATTATAATGGGAAGCAGGAACAGGTTGAAGTGGTGCACATAGGCTTTTGAAAAGTCCTCTTATGACCAGACAGTAATTGAAATAGCAGCATCTCATGCTATAGGAACTAATGTCATTGCGAAGTTACCTTTTAGTGCCCTGCTCTGTGAGCAAATGGCCTAAACACTCAAGTATGGAAGAGTTTAAAAATGAGAGTGGTTAAACACATGCTCTACTTGGCTTGGATTGCAGTTCTCCATGTTCATTGGCAGCAGACATGCATACAAATGCTGACAGACCGCCTTTAAACATTTATCTTTGTGTTTATGTTTTAACTCAACCGTGCATGTAGTGTATATGCAACTCAAATGCAATATCAATCATATTCAAACAAGCCTCCGCTGCTGAAAAGACCAGCTTTGCTGGTCAACAGCATAAATTGTGTTTTGGAAGCTGGGCTGGAGAATGGGATGCTACTGCTGCTCCTCTGTGGGATTGTTAACTAGGTCAGTGAAGTTACACTTGTTTTTTGTTTTATCTATCAATTTATCTCCATTTCATTTCAAGAATGTCAGGGTGAGACAAATGTCTCGTTATCATAATGAAGAAAATGAATGAATGAAGAATGAAAAGAATGAGGAAAAAGAATGTTCTTATATATTTAAATTATATATCTTTTTCCTGCAAGTTTTATATATATAGTATACTAACATTAACAAATATTAATAAGTGCTGTAAAAATATATTGCTCACTGTTAGTTCATGTTAATGTTAGTTAATACATGTGAACAAATGAGACCTTAATGAGAATTTATATATATATATATATATATATACTCATATGGATTAGTCATTAAATGTAAATTTGAAATCGGTATAAAAACCATATGAAACCAACATGAAAACAAAGATTCTAAATACAAACAAAATTCTAAATAATACAATTCTAAAACACAAACCTACATATTTGAAAGGTTTGCCATTTTGGAAGGTTTTCTTTCATAGACATACTTAATGAATATAGGAACATTCTTAAAAAAATGTTTTAACTGTGCATTTGGAAAATTACAAGAACATTCAGAAATTCTTAGACAAAACATTCTTAGAACATACTTTTGTTAGCTTGGTTGGGCAGATAATCTGAAAAGCTGTTTTTAGCAGGATCTTCAAGTATAGAACGACATCCATGAGGCCTATCTTCAGAAATCATTACTGTCTTTTTCCATCAATAACTGGGTAATGAGTCAGTAGACCAAAGGTTAGACGTACCTGTTTGCACAGGGAGAACACGTAGACCGTCAAACTCCAGCATGGTGAATGTAGGGTCCAGGGTTATCCCATAGTCTGTTGCACTCAGGTCGAGTGAAGTCCCAGAGATCTTCATGGCAACGTCAGGATTCGGCCTGTATCAGAGAATCAACAGCACACTGTAAAGCTCACTAACGTTTCACTCAACGGCCTGTTGAGTCCATCCAAGCTTGTAAACGCTTCAGCCTCAGCATATCAGTGCGCTCTTGGATCTTTTACTCTGCCCTTCCCAATCAATGGACTTCAAGTGGTGGAATCACGTAGAGATCGTTGTTCTGCCATACGTTGCCTGCACCCAGGAACTGAAGCGGGGCTCTTTGATTTTGCTGAGGATACAGTAATTAATGTCCAAGACTCATCAGAGCTAGACTGATAGAGAGGCTGAGATTTTGCCAAATGTCTATGTGTTTGCTGTTCTCTTATCAGTGTAGAGGGAATCATAAAGGGGAGGGATCTGGACCAGGTAAACATGACTCAGTCTTCAGTGGGAAATAACATCAAGCTCATATTTATTGTTCAGTAACTACAGCGTAGCGTCGCTTCGTTGGTTGATTTGCTTTATTTCAGAGATGCACCTTAAAAAGGCCTGAAGCCATGAGTAGCACTGAGGCCTACAGCAGGATCACACTTGTAGACGTAGTGTGAATTATATAAATCTGCGAGGTGTTTTGGTGGCTGGATACCTATCTTCTTTCTTCAGGAGAACAGCCAGTAGCTTTTATTTTCAAACTTTGCCCTTTTGGTTATTTGCTATCAGGTCAGCGGTGCTATTGATCAAAGGCAGCATGATAACACGTTATTGCGTTACATTCCTTCTCTTTTGCCACATTCAAATTGTATCACATTTCAAGTAATATGCAATAAGATTAACTTGAGCCCCTTCAACAAAGAATTGCATTAGCTATCAACACAGTCAATAAGAATGCTATTGAGTGCCTTTTTAAAGGCTCAGTCAGTAAGTTTTTGTTTATGTTTATCTCTTATTCTTCTGAATAGCACCAGTGGTTTTAGACTTTATCCTTACATCTATTGGTCTTGTTTAATGGTTGCAGCCAGTATTGTCAGGTTTTGCTAGTACGTTATTATATTTTGCTATTATATTTATATTTTGCTGGTACCCCAGTACGTTATTCGTGCACCAAATGACCATCTCATCACAACATAAATGCACTGAATTAAAAGTGGCGATTTTATTGGCCTCAAAATGTATAGACCGTAAACTCTAGCCAGTTTATTTTTGGCAGTTTTTAGCAACTTCTTAAGAAAACAAGCCCAAATTTGCTTATAATAAGTATATTTGGCAACACTGGTTGCATGTCACTTCACACCGAAATGGTTTTATTCCTTTTATGTGTGAGTTTTTCATCTTACACTACAAACATTCATATTAATGCACATTAAATCTCAACAGTATCCAGCAGATCCGGTCATTGAATGTTCATGTTTTGTTCATTATGTAATATTGTTTTTTATTTTTATTTTTTATTTTAAATCTTCTTTGTTTGCTTTGTAAATGCATGACACAGCTGGCCATTTCATGTTAACATGGTGGTGCCCTTTTATATCCATCTCATCACAACATAAATGCACTGAATTAAAAGTGGCGATTTTATTGGCCTCAAAATGTATAGACCGTAAACTCTAGCCAGTTTATTTTTGGCAGTTTTTAGCAACTTCTTAAGAAAACAAGCCCAAATTTGCTTATAATAAGTATATTTGGCAACACTGGTTGCATGTCACTTCACACCGAAATGGTTTTATTCCTTTTATGTGTGAGTTTTTCATCTTACACTACAAACATTCATATTAATGCACATTAAATCTCAACAGTATCCAGCAGATCCGGTCATTGAATGTTCATGTTTTGTTCATTATGTAATATTGTTTTTTATTTTTATTTTTTATTTTAAATCTTCTTTGTTTGCTTTGTAAATGCATGACACAGCTGGCCATACATGGTGGACATGGTGGTGCCCTTTTATATTTGTATTATATAAAATTAGTAAAAAAAAAAAAATATATATATTATTATTATTATTATTATTTTTGTAATTCTTCCCACATTTTAATTTTTTTTTATTTTTATTATTTTTTTGAAAGTCATAGGTACACTATGCTTGATTTTTTTTCCATTCCTTCTCTTTTGCCACATTCAAATTGTATCACATTTCAAGTAATATGCAATAAGATTAACTTGAGCCCCTTCAACAAAGAATTGCATTAGCTATCAACACAGTCAATAAGAATGCTATTGAGTGCCTTTTTAAAGGCTCAGTCAGTAAGTTTTTGTTTATGTTTATCTCTTATTCTTCTGAATAGCACCAGTGGTTTTAGACTTTATCCTTACATCTATTGGTCTTGTTTAATGGTTGCAGCCAGTATTGTCAGGTTTTGCTAGTACGTTATTATATTTTGCTATTATATTTATATTTTGCTGGTACCCCAGTACGTTATTCGTGCACCAAATGACCATCTCATCACAACATAAATGCACTGAATTAAAAGTGGCGATTTTATTGGCCTCAAAATGTATAGACCGTAAACTCTAGCCAGTTTATTTTTGGCAGTTTTTAGCAACTTCTTAAGAAAACAAGCCCAAATTTGCTTATAATAAGTATATTTGGCAACACTGGTTGCATGTCACTTCACACCGAAATGGTTTTATTCCTTTTATGTGTGAGTTTTTCATCTTACACTACAAACATTCATATTAATGCACATTAAATCTCAACAGTATCCAGCAGATCCGGTCATTGAATGTTCATGTTTTGTTCATTATGTAATATTGTTTTTTATTTTTATTTTTTATTTTAAATCTTCTTTGTTTGCTTTGTAAATGCATGACACAGCTGGCCATTTCATGTTAACATGGTGGTGCCCTTTTATATTTGTATTATAAAAAAAAAATATATATATTATTATTATTATTATTTTTGTAATTCTTCCCACATTTTTATTTTTTTAAATTTGTATTATTTTTTTGAAAGTCATAGATACACTATGCTTGATTTTTTTTCTTTTGCTATTGGGCAAAATAAGAATACACAAAAATATATTGTTGTTGTTTGGTTCTGATTGTAGACAATTCGGTCAGAATATTACTTACTGTATTTAAATTTTTATGGATAATAATGCTGTGATTTCTGAATAGTGTGATGTTTGTGCTATTCAAAATTCCATGATGTTTCTTATTAATGTCTTTTTTTTTAATATTGTGCTCTATAAAATATCTTCCTTAATATATATATTTAAATATTATATATTTATTTACAAAATGATAATAATTCACCATTGACGATAGCTTACAAATATTACTGAAATTTTAATAATTTTAGAGGTCTTTCTCCTGCCACTTATTCAGCCCAATAACAACAAAAAAAAGCTATTTAAAAGAGGGAACAGATAAATAAAAATAAAAATAAAAAGCACTAGGACTGAATGTAATCATTTTATTTTTACAAATTATAAAAAGTTATATGTCAGGCTGCATATTACTTTTGTAGAAGAGAAAGATCCATCATTCTTTGCTGTAATGGGATTTCCTCGGTGAGCATCGCTCCTTTTCTAAATGTCAGGCTAGGCCGTGGGTCAGAACTCCCACAACACACGATAACACACACAGACCACGCTTTAGATGATTGATAGCTCATAAAAACCTGTCAGTCATAGCACAGCTGAGCAGTGTGCCATGGTCCCCAAGAAAGTTATTGCGGCTTCATACTGAGGAAAAAATCAGCAGTTGGAATTCTAATGACAAATCAGATTTCTCAGGTTATGATTATTAGTAAATTTCATTCATTCATTCATTCATTCATTCATTCATTCATTCATTCATTCATTCATTCATTCAGTTGTATTTTATTTTATCTTTTATGTTTTATTTTATGGTATGGCCTGACATGGTTTTTACCTATGATCACTAGGTGGAGACAAAGTACAGAGTATACATCAATACATCACTTACAATATTTTTTTTTTTGAAGAGCACTCACAGAACAAATGCCAGACCTAAAACCATATGCAGCTCTTTATGGAGAAACAGCATGAAACATGTCTTACCATTACAAGAAGAGAAAGTCTCCGGCAGATACCAAAAGTTCAGATTGCAGTGCTCTATTCTATGCCTTAAGTGACTAAAATAAGTGGCACCTGTTTTGTATTATAAAAAAAAAATATATATATTATTATTATTATTATTTTTGTAATTCTTCCCACATTTTTATTTTTTTAAATTTGTATTATTTTTTTGAAAGTCATAGATACACTATGCTTGATTTTTTTTCTTTTGCTATTGGGCAAAATAAGAATACACAAAAATATATTGTTGTTGTTTGGTTCTGATTGTAGACAATTCGGTCAGAATATTACTTACTGTATTTAAATTTTTATGGATAATAATGCTGTGATTTCTGAATAGTGTGATATTTGTGCTATTCAAAATTCCATGATGTTTCTTATTAATGTTTTTTTTTTTAATATTGTGCTCTATAAAATATCTTCCTTAATATATATATTTAAATATTATATATTTATTTACAAAATGATAATAATTCACCATTGATGATAGCTTACAAATATTACTGAAATTTTAATAATTTTAGAGGTCTTTCTCCTGCCACTATTCAGCCCAATAACAACAAAATAAAGCTATTTAAAAGAGGGAACAGATAAATAAAAATAAAAATAAAAAGCACTAGGACTGAATGTAATCATTTTATTTTTACAAATTATAAAAAGTTATATGTCAGGCTGCATATTACTTTTGTAGAAGAGAAAGATCCATCATTCTTTGCTGTAATGGGATTTCCTCGGTGAGCATCGCTCCTTTTCTAAATGTCAGGCTAGGCCGTGGGTCAGAACTCCCACAACACACGATAACACACACAGACCACGCTTTAGATGATTGATAGCTCATAAAAACCTGTCAGTCATAGCACAGCTGAGCAGTGTGCCATGGTCCCCAAGAAAGTTATTGCGGCTTCATACTGAGGAAAAAATCAGCAGTTGGAATTCTAATGACAAATCAGATTTTTTAGGTTATGATTATTAGTACATTTCATTCATTCATTCATTCATTCATTCAGTTGTATTTTATTTTATCTTTTATGTTTTATTTTATGGTATGGCCTGACATGGTTTTTACCTATGATCACTAGGTGGAGACAAAGTACAGAGTATACATCAATACATCACTTACAATTTTTTTTTTTTTGAAGAGCACTCACAGAACAAATGCCAGACCTAAAACCATATGCAGCTCTTTATGGAGAAACAGCATGAAACATGTCTTACCATTACAAGAAGAGAAAGTCTCCGGCAGATACCAAAAGTTCAGATTGCAGTGCTCTATTCTATGCCTTAAGTGACTAAAATAAGTGGCACCTGTCTTAAATTTGAATGTGTATACAGC